ATCTAATCTAATCTAATCTAATTGAAATACAACTGAACTGAATTTTCACTTTTTTTTTCACTTCTATTCGTTCTCATCTTGCTGCGGTTCCAAAAAAGGAAATCAAGGTTTCTGATTCTTATTTGTTGGATTTGTTCACTTTCATGAATGCTACAGTTTTTATTGTTAGCTTAACAGTGTTTATTATTCAGTTTTATTTATATGTATATATGGAGGACAACCTGAAAATTACTGGAGATGCAACCACAGAGCTAAGTTTACAAATGTTATCAATTTTATGGAGGAACAACTGAAAATCCTATACATCACTTTAACTATGAAATAAAAGGAAGTAGTATTGCAACAGAGAGAACAGAGAACGAGTCTCTGTTGTGGAGGAGGACATAACTTTGACAAAAGTCTCACTAAAAGAGAAATTTGGCTCCTTGAAGGAGAAATGTTCTGTTTGTGGGTCAGACTCATCATCGAAGATGGCATAAAAAAGATTAGCTGTAAAGCAACGTGGTCAACATCATAGAACAACATCTTCACTTAAAAGTTTCATCCACCCGTGACCTTATGGATACGGAAACAAAGGTTGCTGTGGACAACACACTTGTGACAAATGGCTTAAAGGGTTAAAGTCACATATGTCTAAAAAGAAAAAGAACAAAAAATACCGGATCCTAATAAAATGATGTCCAATGAGCGTCCGTTCTGATAGTGTTTAGGAAGCCTTTTTTGGGCCTAAATAGAATTCCAGCAGGGGGAGCAGTAAGTGGACATAAACAGATGTGGTGCCATCTGCTGGTGGTACCTAAGAACTATCAGAAAGCCAGATGAGACATTTGAGGCAGCTACTAAATAGAGCAAGACCATCATGCAAAGGCTCATTTTAAAGCATCTGCTTGGCTGGTCAACAACCAACTGATGGTAATTAAAGGAACAGATCTACGGCAACTCTAAATTCCAGTGAAGCCCGATGCTTCTGCCAGATTATTATGACATCAGCCTAATCCAGTGTTTGTAGTAGACTCTTACACTGTAAGTCAATTTTGACTTAGAAGGTAGGACAAAATGTGTAATAATCTATTTTAGCCATAATTTCTTTTTTAATTGATAACTAAAGTGTGCAACTTTTTCCATTATTATTTTTTTATTATGAACCACTGAAAAAAAATGAGACAGAGAATCCACATCCGCCAGATGAATACATGTAGCTTTTACTCAGCCATGACAAAAAAATATAAAATGAAATGTTTGCAATAAAAAAAAAAAAAAAACACAAAAAAAACCTGACAGACTTGTTGCTTCCTCCTGCTCCACACTGACCTGATCTGTGTGTGACTCTGTGTGCAATTAAATGTTGGATTCCTGCATATTCTCTTAAGGGCTCAGGGTTTTTTCTTGGACACTTGACTATTTCTGTGTTTTTATGTTCTGGAAGCTGAATCTGTGCACTGCTGCCACCCTGCAGCATGGCTACTCAATGCATTGATCCATCGGTGGACGCAAGCAGATATCAGCTGACAAGAAAGAAAATAGCGGTTCAAATCATCAGCAAGCTGATGTATTGGTCTACCGTTAACATATGTAAACTCAAAGTGCATTTAGTACATTTGGCTCCTCCTTTAGCACCATCTCATGCATCTTCTCTGCACAATTGCGGCTTTCTGTCCTTTCTAATAATATATAACTTATAGCATTAGGTTGGTAACCACCAGAGTAGTAAACCAACTGTGATTGGCTACTTCCCAGTAAATCCCACCCTTTCTTCTTATCATTTGTAGCCAGTAACGTTAGCACCTTCAGGCACTGATCTCTAAAAGGAGGACCAGTCTGTCACTTCTTCTGAGATTGTCTTTTTTTGCAAGGGTACCACTGATTTCTATTTATTCACTGGATTGCTGATAGCCAGAAAAAAGTGAAGCCACCGGCCGCCATATTGGTACTCCCCACTCCCACGGAGATGCACTAAAAATGTCTACGTGTGCAGCATTTGACTGCAAAAACAAGCAGTTTGCCAGCTGTGGGAAGACATTTCACAGGTGATTCCAGTCAGTGGATGAACTAACCAAGAAATCCCTATATATGCCGATGTATATGTAGCTTAACATTAGTCTGGCTATTTCAAACCCAGTCGAAGATACTGACTTTGACTCAATCAACTGATCGAGTTAGCCACCAACATTGCGTCTAAAGTTAAAGTAATCTATTTATGCTATTAAACAGCAAGTGCGCCTCCAAGTGATGAATTTATCTTTATTTTAAATTAGAACATCATCATTATTCGATGCTGTAGCGCACATATTGTTTACATACAGACCAGCCAAACTAGGGAGTACCAATATTGCGGCCGGTGGCTTCACTTCAACCCCGTACTACCAATGGTTTATTAGCAATCCAGGGAATAAATAGAGGTTGAGGGTACAAATGAGAATCTAGCTTTGGAGTATGCACGTCCATGTTTATGTGGTGTTAGCAACTTTAGTAGTTAGCCATGGTTAGCTTTCTTGGTCTCTGATACAATAGGTAAAAAGTTACTCATGCAGCAACATCAATGACTGTCTGTGGGTGAGTCCCTGATTGGGGAAATGGAGACGAGAGAGATGACAGCAAGGAAGGCTAAAGTTAGCTAATGTTAGCATCCTTATAGTGGG